TGGTGAGTTTTAGGACTACCATATTTGATTTTCATAGTTGTTTATGCCATGCTAAATGTCTACCTTGCACGTGCTTAATAACTCATTGCATGGCCCTCCAAAGTAACTCATTATTTTTGCATACCATGGTTGCATATCAGTGGTTATTTGGACCTATTTTCACATGATTTATTCACTGATTTTTTCTAGTTTGGTGAGATTACATTTGCTTCATATACTTTCCATGTAAACCATGATTGCTAGTCAAAATTGCATGCTATTTTGTCCACCATGCTAGCATCTTTTGGCCATGTTTTGAACTGGAAGCGTCCATGTTTTGGGACTGCCTTAGCTCTGTCTTCATGCTTCATGATCAAATAATGCATGCTTTGTATAGCTATAAGGCATTCCATGTGCCTAGTTTCAAGTTTCGGGTTTCATCTAATGCATCAGGTGCCATTTTTCCATGTTTTGGGGCTGTTTAGCATCATATTTCAGTGCTGAAATTTGTGAGTTTGCATGCCATCTTGCATCCCTTGCCATGTCTTGTTAGAGTTACATGTTATGCCTTAGGTTCAGTCCTCGGTTTGTGTGCATACGTGCACGCATTTTGAGAGTCTCATTTTTCACCTAATGGCTACTGATGTGAGTGTGGCTGAGGTCCATTCATGTTAGTGTAAGTTCATCCTGCATTGTGTACGCCATGTTTTAATGCGTTGTGCATGTTATGTTGTTAGCATTGTGTGTGCTATATAGTTGCATTGCATGTTTGTATGTTTGCTTGCATGCTTAGGTCGCATGTGCATCGTTGTGCATTGCCTCGCCTCTTGATCAACCATGATTGAGGTTGGGTCACTTGTATGTTTTGTGTATATTGCATTTGACATTGAAATGCATACTTGACTCTTCGGCCATCATGCATTGAAATGCGCAATTGGTGGCCCGTCGAGGGCCATGCTCCCTTGAGTCCATTTCATGATAGGGGGTGTGGCCATGCATACATTTGTTTGAAAATTCCATGCCATACACTGCTTGCCCTCTGCTGCTGTCAACTGCAGGTTTTAGCAGGAAGAATTGGCCGGCCGACAGTTTTGGGTGCCGACCCGCAAAACATGTTTGGCCGAGAGCATAATATTTGGCCGATAATCCCATTTCCATGGCCGGTGGCATTTTGTTCTGGCCGGTGAAACTCTAGAGCACTCAGTGGGTGATTCAAAGTAGTTCTGAAAATTTATGTGATCCTCAGAGGGGCAAGACAGTGTAAACAGAGGCAACAGTGGCATGGTACGGATTTTTGGGCAAGACGAGTCAAGCATGCATCATTCACGCATCCTGAGGCGAGGCTGTGGCCACCTTCTTCCTGCATTTAATTTGTTAATTAATTAGAAATTTTGTAATAATTAACTTAGTATTATTTATTCGGACTGTAATATTTATTTGGACCCTCCGAGCGAGGGCAATTGTGTAATAAGTGTGCGTGAGTGTGTGTATGTGTTCCAACCCCACATCTTTCTTCCCTTTTATTTACCCGCTTATGATGGTAGACTAGAGCATATTTAAATTAGCATACCTTATGCTATGCATGCGTGCATTCATACATTTGTCTTGCATGCACCAGGCTCGGCACATCATGCTAACTGCATTGTGTTTCAATTCCAAATTGAATACGTGTTAGTTGTAGCATTTCACATGCCATGTTTAGAATAGCCGAGCCCATTTATAGTTGCATTTCGCATGTGTTGCATTAGCCATCTTAAACTAGGATCATGCATATGATTACTAACTAGTTTCTGTTTTGGCTTAGAGTACTCGGTAAGCATTTATGCTTTAGCATACCGCATGCGTGTGAGTGTTGCCATAACAGCATGATTACCATGAGGTTAGCTGCTTATGTGATATAACTTCTTGAATGCCTGTGGGTGGAGGTCGAATTACCTAAATTGGAATAATGCATTAAAACTGTGAGTTTTAAGCCCACTAGATAAGTGGCAAAATCATCTTTTCTAAAGCCCACTTGAGGGTGGCAAAATCTGCATTTCAGCCTACTTGCGAGTAGCAAACCATTTTCAAAACAAGCATGAAATGTTTTGTTCCAATTTAGGCGATTTGGTCTATACTTGTTTGCTGTGCGCATAACATAGTAATTCTAGGCTAATAAATGGAATAAGAACACATAACGTTTTCAAAAACGGATATCACGGTTAGTAGAGGCCGATCTTCGGATCAGGCGAGAGGGGTTGCTCATAGCTGACCTTCTCTAATCGTACCCAAGCTCCCAAGCCGAGACAACTTTGGTGATGACGGACACGTGGCCTTTGGCACCGAGTCAGGGTTTCCTAAATTCTCCCATAAAAATAATTAGGTGGCGACTCTGTATCTGGCAAAGCAGTCCATGTTTGGCACTTTTTTTCTAAAAATCTGTTTTCTCAAAACGATTTGCTAGATTTGGACTCTTTGGTTCAGATTAAGAACCGTGACTATCTGAGAGTCTTGAACTTTAGTGAACCCGCAAAAACGAACAGAACGGGACTCATCCTCCCGGGGCATTCGGGGACGTCTACAACACCGTGTTTGCCATCTACTATTTCTGAACAGTTTGCCAGAGGCTCGGTTTGAGAAGCGTGCCATAAGTCTGACCGGTTACGGGCTCTGCCATGATGGGAACATAAATCTCAGTTTTTACCGGGCACCTTTTTGACTATTCAACCTAGTGCATATTCAGAATCCATTGTGACCATTCCAAGCTAGGACAAGTTGTTTACCCAATTATAGGTTGTTTGAAACCGCTGTGTGCTTAGTGAAACCCTAATTCTTAACGAAACTAGGACAGGAAAACCCTACCCCTCCATAGGGGTGTTTTGGCTCTCACTTGTTTTCCATGTGCGTCTCTACAGGAATGCATGTATTAGTTTGCAAGTCTGGGTATCAGGACTGCGGGCATCAGCATCAGTGTTTTGGGAATCAGTTATATCTGCGGGTATCATACTCAGATTTGGGGTAGTAATTTGGGAACAATGATCAGTAGTTTAGAACAGTATATTCAACTTACAAATGTCAACTGTGTGTTGTCATACCGACTGTGTGTTGTGTTTATTTAAGCCATTATGTTGTCCGTTTTCTGGTTGTTTATTTCCTTATTATGCTTTATTTATCTTTTTGCTAGGTAGTTTAGCACAATTACTTCCAAGCAAGCAGATATTCCCCAAGCACACTGGGCAAGAGGTCGCAGACTCCATCGATCTGAGGATCTGGTAGACGGACAACCAGTGTTCCATTCTCTACCCCCGGTTACCAGACGGAGGGCAGTTAGGCAAAGGATATTAGTTCAACAGTCGGTTCAGAGGGCTTTGTCTACCTCACTTGAGTATGGTAGGGATCAGAGTTCTGTTTCTCCCGTAGAGAGGGAACATACACCGGTAGTTCAGCTAGATCAGGACGGTATGGCAGGAATGAAGGAAATGATGCGTTAACTCCAAGAAAGTATGAAAGTCATGCAGCAGGACGCTGTTCGTCAAGCCGAATTTGCCAAACAACAGGCCGAGGTCATGGCTCAACAGGCAGAGTTAATTGCCAGGCTACAACAACAAACCGAGCATCGGCTTCACACCAAGCTCCTCAAGCTCCTCCCCTGCCAAGAGTGCCAATACTCGGGGAGGCAACTAATGTCCAGGAAGATACGGACATTCCAATAGGGCCGGCTCTGCCCCCGATCCTACCTCAACTATCCAAGGAACCCACGCCTATCAACCCACCGAATTCTCCATTCAAGTTTGAAGTGGACCCCACAGCATGAAAAGTGGGCAAGCTTGAGAAGCTATTCAAGAAATCTCAGGGTGTCAAGTCCATTCCGGATATTGAAGATGTGTACACTGACGCGGCTGTGACGCTGCCAGACCACTTTAAGATGCCACATATTGACCGCTTTGACGGATTTGGGAATCCCATGGTGCATTTGCGGCTGTTTTCAGACATACTAAGACCAGTAGGCCTCACCAGGTTACAGAAGCTTTCTTTGTTCGAACGGACCTTGTCAGGTGTAGCGGCCATTTGGTATGCGAAGTTGGAGGATTCTGTCAAGAGGAGTTAGGAGGAGATGGCTGAGGCCTTCATAGCACAATACTCCTATAATACACAGATCGAGATTACAACCCGTGATCTTCAGGCGACTAGGCAGGAGCTTAAGGAGAGTTTCTCTGATTTTGTGACTCGATGGAGAGCCAAGGCCTCAATGATGACCATTAGGCCGACTGACAAAGATCAAAGACGGATGGTTGTGCTCAACCTCCAGCCTAAGATTATGCAGAAAATGATCGTCCTCCCTCTCCCCACTTTTGCAGATCTACAGAAAATTGGGGTGCAGATTGAGGACGCCTTAAAGCAGGGTCTGATTGACAGTGATAGAGAGCTGCCCAGGAGGACCTTCAACTGCAATGCAAATGCAGGCACAAGTAGTGCTGCAAATGCCAGAACCTCAGAAGTAAGCGTGGTCACCACCACTCCCCCAAGAGCCCTTGCAGACACACCATTCACCGGTGCGTCCGGAAGCAACCCACAAACAACCATGTACCAACCTTGTGGCCAAAGAACCTTCACGCCATTATACATGGCCCTGTCCAAAGCTCTGGGGGTTTTAATTAAGATAGGGCACTTGAAGCCCCTAGAGCCGCGGCCATTGCCAGAAACACTTCTCTCCTCCCATAACCCAGCCAAATTCTGTGCCTTTCACCAACAGCACGATCATGACACTGACCATTGCTTTAGATTGCGTCATGAGATCCAAGATCTCATTGACAACCGGGTGATTGTGCCTCCAGAGAAACCCAATGTCACAACCAACCCTCTCCTACCACATAACCAAGCTCCACCTCCCAAACGCATCAACTTAATCCAGACTGGGGTTGTGTCATACGACCCTAGCATATATATCACTCCTTCTTACCTACCTACCTAAGCCGGAGGTGTTCATTCTCGACAAGACCGACTTGTGCATGTTGGACATCTCCCGAACCCAACCTGAACCAATGGTGGTGATTGACGAAGGTAGAACAGGGATGATTTCGGAGGAAAGTGGGACTGTTGATTCAGGGTCTGAGGAATTTGAAAGCCTTGCTGAGGGGGTATATAATCCAAGTGATTACATTACGTCAATAGGCCAAGTTAGACCAAATGTGGAATTGCCGGTGAGAGCAGAGATTTGTGTAATACGGGGGGACGAACTTGATCAGAGGATAGATGACTGGCAGGTCTGGAAGAGGACATGGCTAACCTTCAGTTTTTCAACGAACAAGACTTAGGAAACATGGCAGTCAACTGGTTTGATTTTGAAGGGTCAGCAGAGGTTACAGGGTGGCTTGATGACCAACCTGATGTTGTTGAAGATTTTCAGCCAGAACAGGGCCTGTTAGAGACAAGGGCATCAGCTGTGGCCGGAAGGGCCATGAATCAGAACACATCACCGGAGAGCGCTGGCGCCAAGAATGTCACTCGGGATTTGGGCATTTTGAATACAAGAAATGTCGAACAGCAGGTTGCACTCACGCAGTTAGAATGGAAAGGGATCGAAGATTCTGAGAAAGCCAGAAAAGGCAAAGCTCCTGTGGGGATTGAACGTGCTGGGTGCACAAGAACAGAACATACTGCGAGTATAGGAACGCAAGGTACTGGGGGCATAGGAATGGTTGTGACGGAGCCGGACAGGTGTCTGTCAGCTGCCGATGACATGTGGTGGGAAGACGATGACCTACGTCTTGCCCACACCGATAAGGACTGGGGGAGTAACCAGCCAGACGATACCTGGTATATTGGCGAAGTTGACCATATGACTAGGAGTGGGCGGTATTTCAAGTCCCCGCACCTAGATCAACCAGAGGCGTCCGGGAAGGACAAGGAGTTGGAAAAACAGAAAGAGAAGCTACTTGAAGAAAAGGCCATGCTGAAACAGTTGAAAAAGATACAAGCAGACATCTCCATCTGGGGACTACTTATGGCTTCACGTGTTCATAGACAAGCTGTCCTATCGGCAATGGACAAGGCCAAACTCTCAAAAGACACCACGCCCGAACAGTTGGTGGGATTGGTTTTTCCGGGAGGGGCTTCTCTGATGTTGACCTTTTCCGACAAGGAACTGCCACCTGAGGGTGCGAATCATAACAAGCCGCTATACATCTTTGTGGAGTGTAGAAACAAATGGATACCAGTGGTTCTTGTTGACACGGGATCCGCTATTAATGTGTGCCCGTCAAGGATGGCATATGCAATCGGGTTAAAGCCCACAGACTTTGTGCCAACAGCCCAAGTGATAAGGTCATATGATAACACAAACAGAGAGGTGATGGGGAGTATGAAAATTCAGACCCAGGTTGGTCCAAGACAACACGAGATTGACTTTCATGTCTTGGACGTTCTCGCAACCTTCAATCTACTCCTGGGGCGGCCGTGGCTGCACCAGGTGAAGGCAGTCTCTTCCACCTTGGATCAGATGTTGAAATACCCTCACGGGAAGGGGGTGGCTATAGTTTTTTGGGAATTTGTCAATCTATCTACCACCAGAAGTGTCTACACCGGTTTTGGAAATCGAGCATGGCACAGAGGACTTGAACCTTGTTGTGCCTTAAGCAAAAGGAGATTGGAAAGTCAAAAAAGAGAAGATGAGAATCTATCATCAGACCTTGGACTTGCTGATTCCTCAGTTTGAGAAGCTGAACTTCGCTCATTTGTTAAGAGAGAACAATAGGTTCGCAGATTCACCAGCAACTCTATCTTCTATGATAGACATTCCTTTTGGAGTCTGGATGCGTCCGATCATCATTGGCAAGAAATTCGGGCCGGCTTATGAGTTGATTGCTGCCATAGATAAGATTCAAGATGAGAACCCCTGGTATTACGATGTCTGGAACTTCTTGGAAAAATAGGCGTATCCACCTGGGGCAAATGCCAAAGATAAGAGGGCAATCCGAAGAATAGCTGCTCAGTTCATCGTCTGCGGAGGAAAACTGTATAAGAGAGGTCATCTGGGAGTGCATAAGCTGTGTGTTGATACCAAAAAATCGAAGTGCCTGATGGAGGCCATCCATGGAGGAGAATGTTGGCATTCATCTCTTTTGTTGCATGCATTTTACATTGAATGGAAAACTTGGCCTCTTAGGCCATCATGCATCAAAATGCATAATTGGTGGCCCGAGGGCCGAGGGTCATGCTCCCTTGAGTCCATTGCATGATGGGCAGTGTAGCCATGCTCACATTTGCTTGAAAATTCTATGCCATACACTGTTTGCCCTCTGCTGCTGTCAATTGCAAGATTCTGCAAGAAGAAATAGCCGACCGGCTACTTGGAGTGCCGACCGACCAAATACAATTAGCCAGTGGCTCAACCAATGGTCGATGACCATTCCCTTCGGCCGGTGGTGTTCCCACTTGGTCGGTGATGCTCCCCAGTGTTCAGAGAAGCATCCTTAGGACTTGTGCAAATTTTTAGAGAAGCAGGGCAGTGTAAATAGAGGCAACAGTGCCATGGCAGCGAGTTTCCGAGCGGGACGAGTCAAGCATGCATCATTCGTGCATTCTGAGGCAGAGCCGCGGTAGTCTCTTTAGCTTCACATTTAAATTATTTTTGTGATTAATTTGTTAATTCATTAAGAGGGTCTGTAATAATTAATTAGCTAGGATAGTTGATTCATTATTCGGACCGTATTATTCTTTCGGTCCCCCCGGGTGAGGGCGTATTTGTAATAAGTGTGGGTGCGTGTGTGCCTGTCTTCCAACCCCACGTCTTTCTTCCCTTTTATTTACTAGCTTTCGATGGTTATTATTAGGACATATTTAAATTAGCATACCTTATGTTATGCATGCGTGCATTCATACATTTGTCTTGCATGCACCGGGCTCGGCGCATCATACTAACTGCATTCGTGTTTCAATTCCAAATTGAATACGTGTTAGTTATAGCATTTCGCATGCCATTTTAGAATAGTCGAGCCTATTGTATTCGCATTCTTGCATGTGTTGCATTAGGCATTTCTGTATAGTTAGGATCATGCATGGATTTCTAACATAGCTTTTGTTTTGGCTTGGAGTACTCGGTAAGCTTTTATGCTTTAGCATCCTTGCATGCGTGTGAATGTTGCCATGACAGCATGATTACCATGAGGCTATTTGCTTATGTGATATAACTACTTGAATGCCTGTGGATGGAGGTTGAATTACCTGAATTGGAATAATGCATTAAAACTGTGAGTTTTAAGCCCACTTGATACTGGCAAAAACCATCTTTTCGAAAGCCCACTTGAGGGTGGAAAACCTGCATTTTAGCCTACTTACGAGTAGCAAACTGCTTTAAAAAACAAACATGGAATGTTTTGTTCTAACTCAGGCGATTTAGTCTATACTTGTATGGTGTGCGCATCACATAGTAAATTTAGGCTAATAATTGGAATAAGAGCGCATAATGTTTTCAAAACAAGATATCATAATTAGTAGAGGCCGATCTTCGGATCGGGCGAGAGGGGGTGCTCATAGCTGACCTTCCCCAATTGTACCCAAGTTCACGAGCCGAGGCAACTCTGGTGATGACGGACACGTGGCCTTAGGTAAGCGAGTCAGGGTTTCCTAAATTCTCCCAAAATAAAATATTTAGGTGGCGACTCTGTATCTGGCAAAGCAATCCATGTTTGGCACTTCTTTGCAAAAATCTGTTTTTCAAAACGATTTGCCGGATTTGGACTATTTGGTTCAGATTAAGAACAGTCACAATTAGAGTCCGAACTGTAGTGAGCCCAAAACGAGCAGAACGGGACTCATCCTCCCGGGGCGTTCGGGGACGTCTACTGTTTCTGGCGACTCCGCTGGGGAGAATAGAGAACTTGACTCGAACTCATGATATCTTGTTTTGACTACACTTATGTGTTTTTTTGCATTGCATGTGCATTAGTGCGCCTAGGACACCGTGTTGGCCATCTGTTATTCCTGAACGGTTTGCCGGAGGCTTGCCTTGTCAAGGCATGACCATAAGGCTGACCGGTTGCGGGCTCTGCCAGTATGGGAACACAAACCCCGGTTTTTACCGAGGTACCCTTTTGACCATTCGACCTAGTGCATATTTGGAATCCATAGTGACCATTCCAAACTAGGACAGGTTGCTTACCCGATTATCGGTTGTTTGAAACCACTGCGTGCGTAGTGAAACCCTAGCTCTTGACAAAATAGGACAGGGAAACCCTACCCCAACATAGGGGTGTTTTGGCCCTCACTTATCTGCTATGTGCTCTTAGAGTTGGTCTCTACAGGACTGCACGTATCAGTTTGCAAGTTTGGGCATCAGGCCTGCGGGCACCAGTATTTTAATCAGTTATCTGCGGGTATCAGATCCGGCTTTGGGGACAGTGATTTGGGGAATAATGATCAGTGTTTGAGAATGGTGTACTCAACTTATCGACAGGGTGTTGTCATGCCCAACCATGTGTTATGTTTATTTAAACTGTTATGTTGTCCGTTTGTCTGGTCGTTTATTTCCTTATTATCGCTTTCTTTATCTTTTTGCTAGGTAGTTTAGCACGATTGCTTCTGACCCAGTAGATATTCCCCAAGCACCCTGGATTAGAGGTCGCTGACTCCATCGATCTGAGGATCTAGTATACGGACAACCAGTGTACTACTCATTACCCCTGGTTTCTAGACGGAGGGCAGTCAGGCAGAGAATATCAATTCAGCGATCAGTACAGAGGGCTTTATCTACCCCACCTGAGTACAGTAGAGATCAGGGTTCTGTTTCTCCCGTAGAGAGGGAATATATACCAGAAATTCAATCAGATTAGAGCAGTATGGCGAGCTTAGAGGAGATGGTGCGCCAGCTCCAAGAGAGCATGAAAACAATGCAGCAAGACGCTGTCCGACAGGCGGAGTTCGCCAAGCAACAGGCCACGGTTATGACTGAACAAGCAGAGTTAATCGTGAGGCTACAACAGCAAGCCGGAGCATCTGCTTCGCATCAAGCTCCTCCCCCGCCAGGAGTTCCAATACTCGGGGAGACAGCTAATGTTCAGAATGATACGGACATTCCCACAGGGCCACCTCCGCCCCCAATCCTACCCCAGATCCTACCCTAGTTATCCAAAACACCCACCAACCTACCGGACTCTCCCTTTGAGTTCGAGACAGATCCCACCGCATTGTAGTTGAGCAAGCTTGAAAATCTTTTCAAGAGATCCCAGGGAGTCAAGGCCATCCCTGATATTGAAGAAGGGTACACCGACGCAGCTGTTACGTTGCCAGACCAATTCAAGATGCCGCACATCGACTGGTTTGATGGATCCAGGTATCCTATGGTACACCTGCGTTTGTTTTCAGACATCTTAAGGTCGATGGGCCTCACCAGACTGCAGAAGCTGTCTCTATTCGGCCGAACCCTGTCGGGTGTGGCGGCCATCTGGTACGCTTAGAAGATGATGCGAAGAGAAACTAGGACGAGATAGCTGAGGCCTTCAATGCGCAATACTAGTATAACACGCAAATCGAGATTACGACCCGTGATCTTGAGACAACGAGACAGGAGCCTAAAGAGAGATTTTCGGAGTTCGTGACCAGATGGAGGGCTAAGGCCTCAATGATGACCCTAAGGCCCACAAATAAAGATCAAATTCGGATGATTGTGCGCAATCTCCAGCCTAAGCTGATGCAGAAAATGATCGTGCTCCCCTTCCCTACCTTTGCTGATCTGCATGAGATGGGAGTACAGATTGAGGATGCCTTGAAGCAAGGCTTAATTGATAATGATCGGGAGCAACCCAGAAGAACTTTCAATCGCAACACCAATGCAGGCCCGAGCGGCGTTACAACTGCAAGAGCCTCAGAAGTGAGCATGGTCACCACCATCCCCCCTCCCCCTCCAAGACCCATGGCAGCTACGCCTTTCTCCGGTGCGTTCGAAAGCAATACACAAACAGCCAGATACCCACACAAAAACCAAAGAACCTTCGCTCCACTATATATGCCCCTGTCCAAAGCTCTGGGGGTCTTAATCAGAAAAGGGCACTTGCAGCCCCTAAAGGCGCGGCCATTACTGGAAAGACTTCCCCCTACCCACAACCCAGCCAAATGTTGCGCATTTCACCAACAGCACGGTAATGACACCAACCAGTGCTTCTGATTACGTCATGAGGTTGAAGATCTCATCGATAACGGGGTGATTTTGCCTCCCGAGAAACCTATTGTTACAACAAACCCTCTCCCACCACACAACCAAGCTCCACCTCCCAAAAGAATCAATTTTATCCAGACTGGGGTCATGTCTTACGATCCTAGCATATATATCACTGCTTCCCACCTACCTAAGCTGGAGGCGTTCCTTCCTGACTGCACTGACTTGTGCATGTTGGACATCTCCGGAACCCAACCAGAGCCAATAGTGATGACCATCGAAGATGGGACATGGATGATTTCAGAGGAGAAGGGGATTGTTGAGCCAAAATCTGAGGAATCTAGGAATTCAACTGAGGAAGCCTACAATCTGAGTGATTATATTCTGTTAGTAGGCCAGGTTCGGCTCATTGTAGAATTGCCGGAGAGGGCAGAGTTGTGTATGATCCGAGGGGATAGATTTGAGCAGTGGACAGATAATTTGACGGCTATGGAAGAGGACCTTGCCAACCTCCAGTTTTTCAATGACCAAGACCCAGGGGACGCAACAGTCGACTGGTTTGATTATGAGGAATCGGCAGAGGCTACCGGGTGGTTGGATGATCAACCGGATGTTGTAGAAGAATTCTAACCAGAACAAGGCCCGGCAGGGGCAAGAATGTTAGTGACGGCCGGAAGGGCCGAAGAGCAGAGTACATCGCCGTGGTGTCGAGAATTTCGCCCAGGATTGGAGCATCTTGAACACAGGAATTATTGAATAACCAGCTGTATTGATACAGTCGGAACAGGAAAGGTTTGAGGATTCTGAGAGAATCAGGAAAACTAAGGCCCATGCGGGAACTGAAAGTGTTGTGTGTACGAGGACAGAGAATGCTGCGAGCATATGGACGAAAAGTACTGCGAGTGTGATCATACTGGAGCCGGACAAGTGTCTATCGGCTGCTGGTGGAATGTGGTGGGAAGACGACGATCTATGTCTTGCCCACACGGATGAGGATTGGGGAAGTAACCAGCCAGACGATACCTGGTACATCGGCGAGGTCGATCATATGACAAGGAGTGGACGGTATTTCAAGCCTCCACATCTTGATCAGCCAGAGGCGTCAGGGAAGGATAAGGAAGTTGAAAAACAGAATGAGAAGTTACTTAAAAATGTGGTTGTGCTCAAACAACTTAAAAAGATACAAGCAAACATCTCTATTTGGGGACTGCTTATGGCATCGCGAGTGCATCGACAAGATGTCTTATCGGCCATGGACAAGGCTAAGCTCTCAATAGACACCACGCCCGAACAGCTGGTAGACTTAGTTTTCTCGGGAGGAGCTACCTCGATGTTAACTTTCTCCGACAAGGAATTGCCACCTGAGGGTGCGAATCACAACAAGCCACTCTACATCACTGTGGAGTGTAGAAATAAATGGATACCGGTGGTCCTTATTGACATAGTGTCCACTATCAATGTGTGTCCAGCAAGGACTGCCTATGCAATCGGTTTAAAGACCGCAGACTTTGTGCCGACAACCCAGTTGATTCGGGCATACGACAACACAAGCAGAGAAGTCATGGGGACAATGAAAATTCAGACCAAGGTTGGGCCGGGGCAGCATGAAATTGACTTCCACGTCCTAGAGGTTCCCGCCACTTTCAATCTACTCTTGGGGCGGCCGTGGCTACACCAAGTGAAGGCAGTTTCTTCTACCTTGCATCAGATGGTGAAATACCCCCATGGAAAGGGAGTAGCCATTGTTTTTGAAAATTCGTCGATCCATCCACCCCCGGAAGTATCTACGCCAATTTTGGAAATTAAGCACGGTATGGAGGATGTGTTCATGTCGGGTTTTACCCTAGCCGAGGCTCGGGTTGTGCAAAACATCATGGCTGTTAATGAGGGGTTATATGTTAGTGCTCACAATATACCATGAATAACCCTCCAACACATCTCCCGGATGGATTGGAAAAGATGTGCCGCAAAAGGCGTGCCGCGTTCAATGCCGAAGTGCCACACAACCCACATACCTTTGGCTTGGGTTATCTGTCCACCAAAGACCATTGGATAAGGAAAGGCAAGGAGATGGATGGAAGAGCCAGAGCGAAGTAGGCGGGGAAGCCTTTTGAATTAATGCACCGGCCCAAGCAGGGTACCATAAATGGACGCTTCGTCCGGGAGGGGGAGGACTTTCCATTTTGTGGCTTCCCAGAGCCATGGTTGAACGCGGAAAGGAAGCGCGTGCCGGGGTTTGAGATCTTCTTCGACCTACAGTTATCCAGGGATGACGTTGCCGAAGAGTAGATGGACCCATTAGCTGAGGCTGAGCAGAACAAGAAAGTGGAGTCTGAGGACGTTGAAATCGAAATGGGGGTAGCACTGGCTTGTCTACTCTCAGATCCTCCGATCACGCAGAAGTGCTTGGGGAATAACTTCTCAGTGTCCATGATCGGGAATGAAATGGCTACGAACCTACCAGCAAACTTTTTGGATGCATCCATCGCACCATCTCTCATTTGGCAGTATGAAGAGGGATTTTTGTCAAGCAGCACCCGGTCAACTAGTGAGCCGGAATCTGATTCCACCGAGTCTTGTGAGTCGGAATCAGGTTCCAGGTCGACTGAGACTGAGTTCGATATTCCTGGGGTTGACAACCCGGATGCCACAGTCCTGTCCAGGTCGTCTTTTTCTTTCTCTTTTGAGTCTGTTGTAACAGAAGAATCGGACGGTTTGGATGTGCTTAATGAGAATGATGTGGATGTGGTTTTGTAGAAACCCCATTTTTGACCGTCCTCAAGACTTGGACGTCACCGTTTGAACACTCGGTGATCATCCATGTTTGTGTTTGTTTGGAGTTCCCGGAGGTCTCGGCTACGCGCCCTGCCTCAGGATCTCCGAACTTGACCGTTATGTATCTGGTTTTGCACCAAACACTTGTGTTTTGCCTTGGAGGGGCAGGGAATGCCTTGTGAGGCATCCCCACACACCACCAGCAGTGGCTAGTGGCCACCGGCTGGTTTTTGCTGCCATCGACACTTTTTGTTACCGGTCGGCACTCTTTGTTGCCGGTCGGCACTCTTTTTTGTCAAAATGACATTTTTGGCCGGCCGACTACTGTGCATCTGCTTTTTGAGATATTTTGTCACAGCTGTCTTGCTTTTGGCTCCCCTCCATACACGTGTATGGAGGGATCTCCCTCTTTGGAAGCTTGTCTTGTAAGCTTTACAAGACAAAAGGCTCTATAAGAGAGTGCCTTGTCTCTTGGCTTTAGGTTAGACACTTGAAACACCTTAGATATCTTTAGACAACCATTTTTAGGGTTTTGAGTTCTAGGGTTAGAATCCATACACTTTCTATCTCTATATCTCCCTCTTGTGTGTGTTAAATTGTGTTTGTGTCTTACTATTGCACACAAACACATAGTGTTTCACCTTCACTTAGCTACTGAGGTTCTAAGAGGTTGGTTTTGAAGTTTTGGAGCTGTTTTCAAGCCAAGGAGCACTATTGGAGCATCATTTGTGAAGGTGGTCTACAAGGGTGAGAAACTTCCCTTTTATTCCCCATTTTTGCATTGCTTTTCTACCTGTCTTAAAATCATTTCTGAGCTTAGTGTATAACACAAAAAAGTTCTGTTTTTTATCCCTCTTGACTGTTTATTAAGAGTGTTTTGTGGTTTGGAGGTGCTTGACCCCTCTTAGGCCTTGAAAGGCCCCATTTTGTGCTATTTTGTGCAAGTTTCGAGACTCTGGTGTTTGGGCCTCTTCACCACTGAAATCTTGAGGGATTTCAGTGGTGGAGATGGTGCCTTGAAGTCTCCAAAAGGGGAGGGCCACCCCCTCTCCTTGTTATCCTTGAAAAGGACCCCTTTTGGCCTCTTGAGAGAGCATTATGTTAGAGTGTGTATTGGTCATGTCTTGGTTGTTTTCCATGCTTATTATGCCATGATATAACCTTTTTGTGTGTTGGTTTTGGTACACCATGCATGCTTTGCATACCTACCTTGTAATGCCATGTTATTGCCTTAATATGCCTTAGGTTGTTAGCCTTTGTTCGAACATGTTTTAGGTCTAGTTTTGTGAAGCTTGTGTGCTTATTTTGCCATGCTAGAGGTCTGTCCATAGTTGTTTGGGTCGGATTTGGCATGCTTAGTATAGCTCCTTTGCATTCCGGCTTGTTGGCCTTAAGTGTATGAATGTATAGCATGACATTCTTGTATTGATTCAGTGGTTTGGGACTATCCACCATGTTATTTCAGTCCTCTTATCATGCTCATATGCTTGCATTTCATGACCCTTTTGATGTTTCAAGAATTGATGTTTCATGCTTCATGTTCATGCCGTTGTGTATGCCTCTAAGATTAGTCATTTGGATGCTATCTAAATGGTTCTTAAGGCTTACTTTTGCATGATTTGGGGCTGTTTTGATTCAATTTGGTCATTTGCTTCATGAGTCATATGGTCATGGTTTAGGTCATTAGGTTTGGATGCATGCATAGCTTGCATTGGTAGGCTAATTTGGCATCATTTCCTACATGTTTTCAAGGCTTATAATGCATGTCATATGTCCATGATCATTCCCTTCTAAGTGTGCTTAGAAATAGTCTTTTGATGCTTAAGCATTTAGGCCTTCAACATGTGCATGTGTGTATGTGTTTGGTCCCTTATTTTGGTCACTTTGGCCATTGTTTTAGGCCTAATTAGAGTTGCCTAAATCATGTGTAAGTCCACATTTCCATAAATTTGCATTACCTCATGTTTGCTTGTATGCTTACATAAGTGTCTTGCCATGCCGTGTTGCATCCTTAGCGCATATCATTTTGCATTGGCATCTTGCATGGATGCCTTATTCCTTGGACTTGTTGATAGGAATTGGGCCCCTTGTTTTTCATTTGTTTGGTTACAATTTCTTTGACATGAAAGTTGCACACTTGGTTCTTTGGGCCATCATTGCATGGAAATGCGTGATTGGTGGTTCGAGATCGAGACACATGTCCTTTTGAGTTATAACTCACATGATAGGGGCATGGATTGGTGCAATACATAGTTTGAATGTATCTGCCATGCAAGTTCTGTCCTCTGTTGCTTGTGAGTTGCAGGTTCTGCCAGGCATTCTTGCCGACTGGCAGTATATATTGCCGACCGGCAGTGAATCACTAGCCGTGGATCAATTTGTGCCGATGACCATAAATCACTTGGCCGGTGGCAAATTTATTCAGCCGTGGTGGTTCCCAGTCTCCAGAGAAGCATCCCTTGAAGACTATTGGCAGTCTTAGAGGCAGCTATGCATGGCGGTGCACTTCCGAGCAAAGACCCGGCCATGGCTTGCATTTGGCTCCCTCCCTGAGGCGTTTTACTGTTTTTCCTAGCTAGTTAGTTCTGTTAGCTGATTAAGAAATTGTAATATTATTAGCGTTAGCGTTTAATTAATTTGTATTATTTATTTGGTCCCTCCCGCGCGAGGGAAAATCTGTAATAAGCGTACGTGAGTGGGGTGTATGTACAATCCCAATCCCCACTTCTTTCTTCCCTTTTTAATTACCTGCTTACGATGGTAGACTAGGGCATATTTAAAG